AGAAAGGATGGAAGGCTGAGTCAATCTTGAGCCTGGTGAGATTTGAACTTGCAGTAATTGCAGGCAGCTGATCGTTATCGTTAATAACTGTTAATAACAATGCTTTAGTCTGCCGCGCCACCAGGCTCTTATTGGATTGTAGTTTATTGTAAAATTTATTTTACCACTTTGTTTATTCTTTCCCTGAGCCATTTCATCTTGGATGATATAAAGACCCAGTTTTTGTGTTTTATGCCATTGTGATGGAAGTGCTGTTCTACTTAAAGTGAAGTAAGCAGTATTCCATTTTAAACTATTATTTTTTTAAGTAAACACTTTTCTGGAAAAAAAAATACATAGCAGCCATGAATTGGATATTTCATCTATCATTATTTTATCAGAAAATAACTCTTCAGGCTATAGCACCATTAACGTTTCCAGTTTGATTATTCAAAGTTCCCTTAATTTTAAAGCAAAATTATCTCGTGGATCTCTTTGGGAATCTCTATTGAAGATAATAATAATAATAATAATAATAATAATAATAATAATAATAATAATAATAATAATAATAATAATTACTATTATTATTTATTTATTTATTAAACCTGTATGGGATGGTTGTCTCTCAATTCCAGATTGGTTCCTCAGTATCCTCCTTCATGCCTTGTAGAACACTAGCAATTTTATCTGGAATGTGTTTTGAATATGATGCTCTTGTGACCTTTGTAGATCTAGCTAGTATTGCTTACATCTTCCTCAACATTGTAAAAGGATAACTTGTAGATCTATACCAGTTATCCATTTAGATCTAGGCATTACTAAAACTCTCATGCCAATAACCTTCAATTGCGCAAAACAATGCAACATAGGATAACAGTAATGCTAATGGGCGAACTTACAAAATGGGCTAATTTACAAAATGCGTCCAAAATCTGGGATCCATGACTCCCATGCAGGGTGGATAAAAATCAATGATTTTTTTTTTAAATCAAAAAAATCAGATTTTTTTTATTTAAATCGGATTTTTTTGATTTAAATCGGATTTTTTTGATTTTTATCGAATTTATTTTAATAAATTTATTTTAAAACTTTTGGGGTAAAAATCTATCATAAGATAGTTTTCTATTTAAGATACATAAATAATTTAGTTTATTCAGCATGAAATGGAGCTTAGTTATGTAGCATGAGGCTGTACATTCTGCAACACTGGGACTATCGGTGAGTCAACAGTGGGTCAAAGGAGTAGCAGAGATGACAGCTGCTCTTTAAAAATTATGATTTAAATCAAGTTGATTTAAATCAAGCCTTTTTACTAGTGATTTAAATCATGATTTAAATTGTGATTTAAATCAACTCGATTTAAATCAAATCCACCCTGCTCCCATGGATTTGAAATTTGGCAAATTTTATTAAACATTAATACAAAATGTCATAAAACATTTCCTGTGCTGACGTTTAACTATGCTATACAGTTTAACATGGGCTATTTTCAAGGCCGATACATCTCTTCAATGTATCCCAGCTTTTCCAGTGAAGGCTGGATATTGGCAGTTCTGTCACTGTTGGAAGCATTGAGGAATCCGGTAAGGATGGCCCCATGGATGACGGGCTATCTAGTATGATCATAAAAGTTCTAGTATTTGAACACTGCATTACCATCTTTGGATGATAATATTCTATGGGTCAAAGATATATCATTGGCCTTCAAAGCTGCGGTCCATTCTGAAAATGCAGTCCCTCTTGAGTGGTTGAAGCTATTTGTGCAATTATACTTTTATCCATATTTTCATATTGTTTGTCAAAATGGCAGATAGAGGCTGAGATAAGATGTCTGCTATAGTGTTGTAATTTCCTGGAAGATATTCACATTGGAACATAAAGTGGATTAATTTGTGAATCTGTTGTCCTATGCTCATGTGAATGTCTATGGAGATTCTCAGTCATCCAGGTCATAGTTGTCCCAAAGTTGCTCTTTCAAGAGACAACTGGCCTTTCTTATTTTTATTTGAAGACGTTTCGCTTCTCATCCAAGAAGCTTCTTCAGCTCTGACTGAATGGAAGGGAATGGGAGGATTTATACTCCTTACAGACAGCTGGTCATTTGCTTTCTTGCTGAGGCCACCTGGCCTCAGGGTCAGCTGAGTAGTGCAATGGGTGTGGAGCTCTCTTGGAACTGTTCCAAGGATTCTCTTGGAACTGTTCCAAGGACTGAAAGGACTGTATTATAGACTGGAGATAGATGATGTTGCATCCCTCCCCCTCTGTTGAGAGAGGGCTGTTCAATTTTGACATAGATGGCCTCTTTGACTCCTCTTTCAAACCAGCAGTCCTCTCTGTCCAAAATGTGAACATTGGTGTCTTCAAATAAAAATAAAAAAGTCCAGTTGCCTCTTGAAAAAGCACTTTTGGGACATGCTCATGTGAGGTTAAATCCATCTTTACCAGTTATTCCTTATTGATAACATAATTATTTTGTAAGTTATAAATAAAGCTATAAATGAGAATTTCTGACTTACTTAGTTCAGGATCATAATCATATACATTACCAAGAATTTTATTCTTTCTGAATCCTTCTTTTTCCACTTCTTTCTTTTGCCTTTGTTCTTCATATTTGGTTCCATTTCTAGTACTTTCTCACTGGTTCAAACTTCTAATTCAAAAACATATTCCTACAGTAGTATACACCTCTGGCCAAGATGGACTGTCAGTCCCAGTTCAGTGCATTCATATTAGTTTAATTTTCCAAATATACACAGTAATGAAAATAGGATTATTGGTGAAAAAATGGATGTATCGTTAGATAGAGAACTTCATTGTTTTCAGAAATATCACAGATTTTTAGGAAAAGGAACAGAAAAGATAATCAGGATGGTGTAATTAAAAAGCAGAGCTATAATGTCTCATACCATACTGGTTGAGCTTCCTACAAGCACTCCTATGCTCGTCCTTATCACCTTGTGTATCAGGATCAGAGTTTAGAGTTGTATCCTTGTTTTAATTGTTGTATGCTATCTTGTAATGATTTATTCAAAAAAGTGAGGGAAAAATATATACAGTGAATCTGTTCATTAGACTACCTAATTACCACATTTTTGTAGGAAACGAGCCCGTTTCTTAAATTTTCAGTTTTTGCTTTTGTTATTGAGCGTTGATTTCTAAAATCCCTAAAGGATTTCTTTTCCTAAAAGTTGAGTTTCACATTCTGTCTGTTTTAGCTTACATTTAGGGTGCATTCTAAACTTTATTTTTTAGTCAAGAGATGAGCTTGACATTTTGAAAAGACTATGCAACACTTCAGCAAATCCCAGGCTGATTCTTTTGGCGTATGGACCTCAGTCATTGGTATCATCATGGGAGTCACTGATCCTGGGCCTTCTCTAACCACTAGAAATCTCCATTTTTGGGATTTTTCAGCACACGCTTCTTGAATACTTTTCCAACCCATATTTCACAATGTTAAAGGATTTTACTCTTTTTAATAAACAAAAGCTGTGTTTATTGTATACCATTGCTTATACAGGCTATGACCATCCTGGTTGTGAAACTCAAAGCATTAGACAACTGTTAAATGTTGTCATGAGCATCTTGTGGGATTGATTTCCCAGCCTTGAATTAAGACTTCTGTAAGATAGATTTTGATTCATACCAGAAGCCAATTTAACTAACTTAATAAGAAAAGCCAAATAGATTTGACTGGCTACCCTATCAGATTAGCATCTGGAACTGTCCCAGTTTGCCAAGTGGCACAGCAAGTGCTAAACAGTGTTTGGGGCACTAGGGACAAAACTTAGGGTAGTGATCTAAAGTGGGCTGGTTCCTATTACACCTATGGATGTGACTAGTTTCCACACCCCACTCCACTCTGATTCTTGAATTGGATTTGGGGATTTTTTTCAAGTCTGTTAAAACTCTGTCAGCATATTTAGCTTCTTTGATTACACTTTGTCTACTTCATAATGGTGGAACACACTGGTTCTTAGCAAGTGTGGTCCAAAAAAGATGTGGGTGTGTGGAATACCTGAAGGAATAAAAATGTGCAGAAAATATATAGAAAAAGGTCATGCCGGAAGAATGTAATGTGTTCTTAAAATGACATTGTGTGTCAAAAGACAGAGCTCCTAACATTATCTGCCTGTCAGTCACAGCCCTTGGTTCTACTTCGTTCTTGGCTTGAGCACAACTACACACTCTTGACTACCCTTTATACTTTGTAGGTCTGACCAAGCCTGACTAAGAGCCCCTTATTTAATTGTATATTACTTTAATATTCAGGGCCACTGCAATTTAATATTGCTTTAGAAATTATAGACAATGAGGATCAATTTGTGGGTGGAAGGGCCTAACCCAGGCCCTGAATATCTGAATTTATCTGAATACTATCTGGAAATCTTTTTTCTTCAAATGTAGTAATTTATAGCTGAAATGGTTGCACACATTGCTCCAATCATAATGTACAATAAGTTGTTGGCTAAATAAGGGGGTGTTCCCCCACCTTATTTGTTTGAAGGGGAGTGTCTTTACCCAGGAGACCTGTCCTGATATGTCATAGCTCTTAGTATTAGGAACTTAACACTGAAATTACTCTCTTCCTTTCTATTTAATTGTCCCGTTTCTTCTCTTAGATTCCTGTCCTCCCATGGGCCTTTCGCGCCTCTTAATTTGCTTTCCTTGTTTTTAACCTTCTTCTTTTCTCAAACAGGTTTGGCGGTTATGTTGAGTCTCTAATAACTGTGTCTCGTCCTTGTAATTGTAAATGAAATGTGGTTCATTTGGTTAATTGCTTTATTTTCATTGCAATTGACGTGTCGCTTTTTAAAAATTGGTCTCCAAGCTTGCTTTCTCTAAAAACAAAATAAAAACCAATCGCAACCCTTGCCCAAGACTGCTAATTCCATGTTTTGCTCTATTTTTAATCCTTATTTTCTCCTCCCCTCCTGCTTTTGCTCCCCCACCCCTCTGCCTCTCATTCTTTCCTTCCTTCCTTTCCGTTGCCCATTCTGTCCTTCGTGGGCCCTCAGGTTGCGTGCCAAAGTGCGGAGAGCCAGGAACAGGTTGAGACCATTCTGTCTGAAAACGATGCTCTGAGAACCAACCTTGCAGCCTTAGAACAGGTACCAGGTTCTGCCTTCTGAGCCAAGTGGTCAGGGAGGGCGTAGAAGGTGGTGATGAGGGTGATGAAATTGAAGGCTGTGACTATTCATTTTTACAAGGGGGGTATGTATATTATATTTACAGCAAAAGGGAGGCTAACTGACCAGCAACAGTGTGAAGAATTCCTGTTTTATTTACTGCATTTATATTCCTCCCTTCATCCAGTATACTGTGTCTGTGTGTGTGTGTGAGATGTGCACCCATTTTCAACATTTCCTATTGAATAAGATAGGGTAAGAATAGATAGGTTGCAAATCATCTTCTAAACTTCATGGATAACTGGGAATTTGAATGTTAGCATCTCCAAGCCTGGTCTGGTATTTTAACTGCTATATCATACTGACTCTGGTTCAAGGAACTTATTCAGCTGACTTCATCAGTGCACAACCACAGAGTGCTTCTCTTTAGCAATGATGAGCAGCTATTTAAGCCCAGGGACATCCATCTTTTTTGGGTGGCTAAGAGTTGCAATGAAAGTGGCAGTAACACAACCCAGGACTGTGTCATAGAAAGATTTGGGACCCAGATTTCTTTTTTCTAGGCTATGGAAGAGTTGTTGTTTTTTTAAAACAAACAAACAAACTTGGTTAAGCCTATATGAAGCCTACAATTTTTACTTGTTTCGTAACTTTAAACAACAGGAATTCCTCATGGCTTGTCCAAAATAAGAAGCATCTAAGTGTTTGAGGGGAATGCTCTGTTAAAGTGAGTTGTGTTGTCCTGCTGTGAAGTGGCCTGGGTCATCTTAGGAGAAAGTGACTGAGATTGCATTGTAATTCTCTCTCTTTCTCTCTCTGCGTTGTGTGCGTCTATCCTTGGGGATTAGGAGCTATGATGAAAAGGAAGATGAAAATATAACAGATGCTAGATTTGTCATTCACAACAGGACAAGATTCCTTTTTCCTAGCTTAAGACATGGATAGATTGTGCCAACAGTCACATCTGTTGTATGAAAACCTGCCATTATTGGCACATTACCTTAGACCTGACACTTCTTCCAGCACTTTGAGCTCGCTAGGTGTAAGACATGCTAGTTGGAAATTATGGGAATTATACTCCTACCACATCTGGAAGGCTGTAGATTGGAGAAGGCTGGTTTAAGAGAATGTGGAGGAAAGGTTGTTAGAATATTGTGTGATGCCATTGCAGAAATGAAAGTGACCTGTATTTAAGCACCTTTTGGATAATAATTACATTTTTTTAAAAAAATGGGAATAAAACCCTTGGAATCTATAATATTGCAAGAACTACGCTATATTTTATGCTTAAAAGTACTACAAATCCCTTTAAGAATTCTTTCTTTTCAGAAGGCCAAAAGCTCATTTCTGATTAGCCAAGTTTTAGTTTTTAAAGGCAAGTTATACATGATAACATAATTATAAAATCTATAATTTACCTTTTTAAAATGAAACCTGATTAGTCATAAATCACCACGTATTTCTGGTTAGTTAGATAATTCTATGCAAACCGATAAAAATGTGCTGGTGCTAAGAATTCTTATTCAAGTACAAGTTAGCATAATTTATATAAATTCCATAGTTCCACATTCTGGAATGTAGATTAAGTAAAAGAAAAAGAAAAAAAGTGAAAAAGTCAGGCTAATTTCCACTTCAAAAATATTTAAAAATTCATCTATATCAAAAACACTTTTATGTGGGTTTTCATAGAGATTAAACTAATAAGGCTTGATACAGAGATAACAATCCTATCCAAGTTTAGGAGACTAGGAGTCAATGGCAAAACCATGCAGTTCTCCCAGTTTCTCATTTCATTTGATTGTTCTCTTGTTAAGAAATGTGTGTGCACCCATTATAATTAATCATAATAATTCCTATTGTCAGTGGAATTTGAAGCAGGTTTGTAAATTTCAATTAACCATGAAGTCAGATGATTGTGTGCAGTGGGTAACATCAGAGCAGCATCCTTCATTTTGACACGTACAGTGAATTAAAAATATTCTTGTGAAACTAAAAAATAATAATAAAGAAAATACATGAGAGCTCAGTGGCGTGTGGAAATGTGCTTGGGTGCTTGGGAGGGGGGGAAATCTATGGTTTGTAGTTCTTTTTTAAGGAAAAAGAAAACCCACAGCATTGCCAAGGGGTGCTCTTTGGAGGGTAGGTCATAGGGCCATGTGATTTTCTGAAAGGACTGTTAACTGTTTCCTTCCTCTCTTGTCCTGCTGGATTCTTGCCCTGTAGATCCAGACATCTAAGACTCAAGAAATGAACCTGATGCGAGAACAGGTGGCAGCCTTGGGAGATGAGCTGCAGCAGCGTCAGAATGAGAAGGAGGCATTGGCTGCCCAGCGGGATGACCTCAACACACAATTGCAGGTGGGCCAAGGCATTAGATCCATACAGGCCCTGTGATAGCCCAAGCATCATGCTGCTGCTTACAAGGCCCAGCCAGCGATTTGCATATTCTGTATTTCCTTCCACTATCGCCCTTGAGCTATGTAAAATGTCCCATTTTGAACCTTTATAGTGCAGGGAGAAAGAAGGAGCAAGCAGTTAAATGTTTATGCCCTTTTGCCAGCGATCTCAATCTCTACTCACGGTCACTAATGCCCTAGTCACCTCCCATCTTAACTATTGCAATGCGGCCTACGTGGGGCTGTCCCTAAAAAGCATCCGGAAGCTCCAACTGGTGCAAAATGCAGTGACCTACATGGTTTTGTGCAGACCTCGGTGTGCACATGTATCACCTCTCCTGCAGGAACTGCATTGGTTTCCGATTTGCTTCCAGGTGCAATTCAAGGTGCTGGTTGCCACCTTTAAAGTCCTTCATGGCTTGGGACCAGGTTATCTGAGGGATTGTCTCTTGCCGGTCACATCTACACAATCCACTAGAGCAGGGAGGCAAGGAATGTTGCAAGTCCCATCCCCTAAGGAAATACATCTGGGGGGACCCAGAAGAAGGGCCTTCTCTGTGGTGGCTTCCTCTCTCTGGAACATCATCCTCCCAGAGATTAGACTGACCCCACTCTAACACTCTTTTGGAAGGCCCTGAAGACGTGGTTCTGCCAGCAGGCCTGGGGAACCCAGAGCGGGATGGAGCCCCTTAAATGGCTAGTATGAATGTGTGTTGTGAGTGAGGGGTTATTATTTTATTATTTTTATTTTTATTTTTTTTATTTCTTTTATGTGATATTTTGATATCTTTGTAAGCTGCCTTGAGTCACCATGTGCAAGTAGGTGACAATATAAAATTTCTAAATAAATAAATAAATTTCATTTTTTACACTCGCCTTCTGCTGGTTTGATCCCTTTACTGATCTCTTTCTCCTACTCTTGTTGGCCTTCCCAACTGCTACCCAAGTTCCGGCCCTCAGTTTGGTGTGTTAGCAAAGTTCTTCCCAATATCCCACATACTTTCGTTTCAAATGATTGGTATTTTAACCCTGAATCTTACTTTTAAATTTGTCAGTGTGAAAGGAGGCTAGGTAATTCACCCAACAAATTCCCAAGCTGAAAAAGTTTTCACTCTTACTTTCAAGGTCTTAGACTAGGTGTAGAATTAAAGTGGGATGCTCAAAGTGCTTTATGTAGCTAGTTACTATAATCCTTTTGATGGTCCAATAATATGGAATCAGGCCAGGGCTGTTTTGTGATTGATCTTCTTTGTTTATTGGTGTCATTGTCTTCGGTCAGAGGCAGCGGACGGCCTCTGACAAAACCAGGGGTGGGCCCGGTTGCTGGGTAGGCGTGGTCATGGTGGGCGTGGCCTAGTCAGCCTCCTGCAACATGGCAGGGGAGGCGTTTTTGCCCTCCTCGGACTCCGGAGGCTTTCCTCGAGCCTCTGGGAGGATGAAAATGGCCTCCCCAGGCTCCAGAGGCCCTAACCCTCTCAAACTTCCGGTAGGGCCTTTTTTTGCCCTCCCTGAGCCTCTGCACACGCCCTGCACACACCTGCATCCAAAACAGCCTGCGTGGGGACTCCTGGGAGGGGCGGGGCAGGGCCAGCCAAGAGTGGGATTTGGGGGTTCTCCGAACTGCAGAATCTTAGCTAGAGGTTCTCCTGAACCCCTGTGAACCCCCAGCAGCCCACCCCTGGACAAAACCGTGGTGCCAGTAAACAAAAGGGTTGTCTTAGAAGACAAGATTTTTCATTATCTTCACCTTTTATTGTAGGAGTCACTCCGGGGCAGTACTCGTTTTATGGAGCAAGTTCAAGAACTCAGGCAGGAAAAGGAGAGATTATTACAAGAGCTTGATGAAGTACGGAAGGTAAGCTAGAGTGGAGGTATACATTGTGGCTCATTCAGGCAACTTCAGTCATGGCTTGACGCTTGTATATGAGCAGACGAATGCCAGACCATGGCCTGCTTCTTTCTCCCTTTCTACATTGAGGTTTCTAAAGTGATTCCATTTGTCTTCAAAGCACACTACTATTTGGCAAAAATCCCTTAAATCAGGATGTCAAGTAAGAGTTTTTGAGTTTCTACCCTGAATGAACTATGATTCAGTATTAAGTTTATGAAATTTGGAGCAAAATAGAATAGAAGAAAGGATAAGGAGGAATGAGATAAGGGCATGGGAGGAAGAATAGTAGCTAAGGGAACATTGAAAGATGTGAAAATGGTATCTGCTGGCTAAGGAAGCTGTTCCATTTTTACCTGATTTCCTGACTGTCTCCAGAAAGAGCCCATAGACTTTAAATTTCTCAGTGCAACTCTGAAGACCAGAAATTAGTGGATAGTCTTTTTAAAGAAGCCAAGGATTTTGGTCTCAAAATGCAAACTTTCTAAATAGGCAAACTTTATTTATGCTTCTCAAGATAAACAGCACATCCCTTTAACTAAAATCTTGGGCACATTATATGCCTTCACCCCGCCTTTGTGAGGTTGGTCTATATCAGTGATGGCTAACCTTTTTGCTGTTGTGTGCCAAAAGTGGGGGGAGCACAGGGGGTCGCGCACGCATGTGCCCACACCTATAATTCAATGCGCCCTGCCCCCCATGCACGACCTCCCCATGCTCCCACGCTTTTGGCACGTGATGGCATGGTGGGCCTGGTAGGCCCATTTTTTGCCCTCCCCAGGCTCCAGAGGCTTTTCTGGAGCATGAGGAGGGCGAAAACGGTCTTCTCTACCCCCCAGAGGCCCTCCAGAGGCTAGAAACAGCCCATTTCCCGACTTCCGGTGGGCCCAGAAGGCCCAAAAATCAGGTGGCCAACACGCACATGGGCACTGGAGCTGAGCTAGGGCAACGCTCGCGTGCCCACAAATATGGCTCCATGTGCCACCTGTGGCACGTGTGCCATAGGTTCGCCATCATGGGTTTATATAAACCAAACTAAAATATGGGGTCCTTGGTACTCCTGGTTGTTTTCTTGTAGAGATTTCACTACTTAAGTAACATCATCAGTGCTAGAAGGAAGTGGATTTTGCACCTCACAGTTCAACCCTGAACTACAAATATTCTCTTTTATTGAAACTAAAGCACAGGTAGTCCTCGACGTATGACCACAAATGAGCCCAAAATTCATGTTGCTAAGTGAGACATTTATTATGTGATTCTGGCCCCTGTTTTATGATCTTTTTTACCCCAGTTGTTAAATGAATCGCTGCGGTTGTTAAGTTAGTAACACGGTTGTTAAGGGAATCTGATTTCTCTATTGACTTTACTTGTCATAGGGTTGCAAAAGGGGATCATGTGACCCTGGGACACTGCAACGACCATAAATATGAGTCAGGTGACAAGAATTGGAGTTTTGATCACATGACCATGGGGATGCTGCAATGGTCTTAAGCGTGAAAAACAGTCACTTTTTTCAGCCTCGTTGTAACTAGGCTGAACTAAATGAACTGTTGTAAGCCAAGGACCAGCTGTATACCTGGTTTTATACTCGGGGGCAGAGAGGGATGATGATTTTTTTTATCTAATCCTTATTGCCAGGGCCTCCCTGTTGTATTGGAAGTGGGATATAGGGCTGAGCTGTGTCTTCTGCTTTCCAGACAGCAGAGAAACGCAAGGCCATGCTAGATGAGATGGCCATTGAGACCCAGCAAGAAAAGGGACGCCACAAGGAAGAGCTCGGTAACCTCCGTCTGCAGCATGAGAAAGAGATGCTGGCTGTGAGGGCACGCTATGAGCGGGAGCTGCGGGAGCTGCATGAGCACAAGAAACGGCAAGAGGACGAGCTGCGTGGTCAGCTCAAGGAGGAGAAGGTACCAGGGCCACATTCAAGGTTTAAGGATCAAAAATTTGGTCTTTCTTCCTGCCTTTCTCAGTAAAGTTGAGCATTTCAAGACACATCCTCTAAAGGAGGAAGAACTCCCTAACTTTATGAGAAGTAAGCTGCTGCTTAGGTTACGTCTGTTAACATGCACAATACATTGGGGCCAAGAAATGAAATCACTGCTAAGGCTTTGCTAGGAAGGATCACCAAGGGAGTTTTGGCTGTCACACTAAAATAGTGAAACTTTGTTATGTTTTTTTTCCCCCTCCTGGGACAAAGGACATTCTAGGTGTCTTTAATTTCTTCTCCTTTTGGGATTGTCTGCCGTCTTTTCCTTCCTCTTCTTCATTAGGCTCGTAGTCAAGAACTGGAATCCATGCAACAAACTGTGGAAGAGCTACGTCTCCAGATCCAATCCATGGATGGCACCAAGGGCTGGTTTGAACGGCGGCTTAAAGAGGCTGAGGTACTGATTTGGAAGAGAAATGTAATACCATGTTTCCCTGAAAATAAGACCCTGTCTTATATTTTTTGAACCCTGAAATAAGCGCTTGGCCTTATTGCCATGCGCTCAAAAGCCCGATTGGGCTTATTATCAGGGAATGTCTTATTTTGGGGGAAACAAAGTAGCAATTCCTTTCCAGTTGCAGAAATCCAGTTTTTGTGTACCTATTGATTCAATTTTACATCTCAGTATTGGGACATAAATTAGAAGTGGCATTCTGTGGATGGGCCAGTCAGGTTCCCTTCTAGCCTTTTATTGAGCCTCTGATTTTCTTCCTCTTCCCCAGGAGTCGATAGAGAAGCACCAGCAGGAACACATGGAGGCCCTGAGAATCTGTAAAGAGCAGCATGCAGCTGATTTACAGGTATTGGGGGCTGCGAAATGCCTATTCCTCCCCAGGCATGAGAAATGACAGAGATTTATTTCCTTTAAAACCACACCTGAAATACTGCATCTAGTTTTGGTCACCACACTATAAAAAAATGTTGAGACTATAGAAAGAGTGCAGAGAAGAGCCACCAAGATGATTAGGGGACTGGAAGCTAAAACATATGATGAATGGTTGTTGCAGGAACTGGGCATGGCTAGTCTAGTGAAGAGAAGGACCAGGGGAGACATGACAGCAGTGTTCCAATATTTGAGGGGCTGCCCAGAGAGGAGGGGGTCAAGCTATTTTCCAAAGCACCTGTGGGTAGGAAAAGGAATAATGAATGGAAACTGAACAAGGAGAGAATCAACCTGGAAATAAGGAGATTTTTTCTGACACTGAGAGCAATCAACCAATGGAACAGCTTGCCTTCAGAAGTTGTGGGAGCTTCATCACTGGAAGCTTTCAATAAGAGACTGGACTGCCATCTGTCAAAAATGGTGTAGAGTCTCTGGCTGGGGGTTGGACTAGAAGACCTACAAGGTCCCTTCCAACTCTATTAATCTGCTAAATTTCCTTGTTTTAAATCTGTTAAGTTTCCTTCCATGCTGTCTGACATAACACTACCAAATTCTCCATTAAGGGGTTTTGTCTGCTTCTGCCATCTAGGTGTGACTTATTGCAGCCAATCGGTTGATATGAGGTGGGTGTGAAGAGCAACCTGCTTTCATCAATAGTGGATTGGCTGCTAGGTCTAATGGATTTCTGGTCCCCTCTGAACATGGATAATGTAGGACATGGCTGGGGGATCTGCAGCCCTCAGTGTTAGTGATCTTCAGTTCTCAGCAATCTCAGCCAATGAGACTGATGTGAGGGATTCTGGGAATTGTAATTCACAAAATCCGGAGGGCCACAGGTTCTCCACACGTAACAATTCTAAAAATTATGCCATGGAGCTTTTCTGAAATGTTCAAGAACCACCTCTTTCATTAATGTGAATGAGTGACTTTTTCTGAAATCTTTTTACACTAGTTTTTATCAAATTGGATTCTTGACTGAGCTTACAACTACAGTCAGAAAAATCAAAATTAAAACAGCATATTAAAAAAATGGAAATGGTACATAATATGGCTTGAGTTTTTAAATAAAAAATTTTTTGCTTGCAGATTCAGATAGACTTTTGGGGGGGAGAAATTCCATGACTGGATTGCTGTAGGGAGAAATGTTATCCTTGTCCTTTGATATCAATCTTTCTTTTGATTAAACAGTCACTGAAAGGAAGGCTGGAAAGTGACAAACTGCTCAAGACTTTCACAGTAAACACAAGTGAAAAACACTTTGTCATTGAAACCCTTTTAAAATAGTCAGGATGTGAGCATTTAGCTGTTAATTGTATCTTATATTTCAACCTGGCTGAGGTTGGACCACTGTGGGACTAGGCCTGAGCAAATGTCAGAAGGGTGAGGAAATGTCCATGTTTAAAGTAAGATTTGTACTGGAAAATCTTTGGTAGATGCCCTGATCATCCATGGAAAGGCAAGTATCATCTAGGAAAAAAAGCCTCCAGAGTTGCTGCTCCCTGCTGTCTTCTCTTGTTCAAGCTTTTCAAATCAATAAAACAGCAACAGTAACTATGTAAATGCAGTTTTTCCAACTAGTCTTGTCTTCGCCTTTCTCTTTAATTAAAAAGAGATATTCCTGAGGCAACTGGTAACAAACGCTCAAGTGCTTTTGAACTAATACTGCTGAGGAGGAATTTTAATCTACTTTTTATTGGTGTTTGATTTGTATGTTCTACAGGGGAATGGGTAGGTAGGTAGGTTTATATCAGTCTTCCTCAGGCATGTTTAGTACTACAGTCCCCAGGATTCCCAGCCAGTACATAGCCTTTGGGAAAGGCAGCGAATCACCTATAATTTACCTTTGTAAACTGCTTAGAGAGGGCTGTAAGTCCCTTAGATATAAGTCTAAGTGTTATTGTTAAGTGTTATTATAATTTAAAGGGGACTTTGGAGTTACCTTAAACTTGAGTGTTGCATTTGTGTAATTTATGATGCTGATTCTCTTATCTACCAGTACCAGCCTCATATTATTAGACTTTTGGCTCCAGAAAGAGATGTGCTACTTGACAAATTGAAATCTGTTTAGCTACTGTGAGTTTCCCCGCTATGATCCCTGCACTTCTCCACATGTTTATGGTGGCAAGGGGTGGAGATGGGAAGATAACCAGGACTGTTTTAATAAAAATCATACCATACTAACCAAACATCCATCAGAGTTCCTTAAAGAATCCCTGAAACTTCTTTGGATTATAAATGCAGGCCTAAAAATATAGCTTGAAATGCCATGTTCAGCAGTTCTAACAGTTTTTGCCATGGAACTGAATAGGGTATTTGCAGCTAATGTGCAGAGCAGCAGATCAGAGTTCTTGGAAAGGATAATTATTGAGATGAGTGGCTATAGAAATTGAATGAATGAATGAATGAACAAACGAGCAATATGTCAACCAGCCTTTCTCCTTCTTTACGCTTTTCCAGTTTTCTCCATTGCTGCCACTTGGGCTCCTTTCACATGTTAGCTGCTTTTTTTCCCCCTGCAGTGATGAAGAGTAGCTACACAGTAGATTTTAGCCATGCAGTTTGTGCTTTTCCCCTGAAAATGTCCTTTCTCAGCCGCTGGCATTTTCCATGTAAGAGGAGTAATAGGGGAATCTTATTCTGCTTTTTAACTAATCTCACTCCTGTCTCTCCTGCTCCAACTGGGTTGTTTCCTCTGCAGCTAAAAGTCCAAGAAGTGGAGGCAACTAAGGAAAAACTGAGAGAGATTGAAAAAGCCAGGAATGAGCACATGGACACAGTCAACCGGCTGAAGCAGGTGTGTATGCCCTAAGCCTGCCAGCTTCCTCCAGGAACCTGTGCTTGGCAGGACGCACTTCCTTCGACCATCTGTTCTCTCTCTTTCTGCCAGGACTTGCCCACCTGCTGAATTATGTCTCCTCCTCCAGTGTGGTTGCAGTACACTGGCATGGATAGACAGATGGTGCTGCTGTCCCTCTCCAATTCATGTGTTCAAACTAAGGTTTTTGCAGTAGTTCCTGGAGTGATAAGAACACAGGCTTCCAAGCAATGCCGCTCCTGGTTTGGCTAGAAGGAAACTGATCCCCGCTATATCTGAGTGTAGAACAGCTCATCATATTCAAGAAATTGATTGAATCATAGAATGTAAGGATTAGAAGAAATCTTGGAGATCATCTAACCAACCCTCCGCCTAATGTGGGAATTCACTATTGCAGCTGTGTGCACAATCAGGAAAAACTATTCAGGAATTCCCTTATCCCAGTTTAGACAACAGGATTGCTGTCAGCCCTTCAAGGTAGGCCAGGTTAGGAAACAGGCACCACAAGAAACACTAGAACTCTCTTTATTATTATGGGCTAAAATAACAAAATCTTGAAAGCCCAATCACATTTATCTTGCCTTCCATCTTATTCCAAGGAAAATGAAATTGGGGCAATCTTTAGTTTCTTTCTCCACCAATCAAATTTATTATAAACCTAAAGCCGGATATAAACAAAACACCTAATAATAGATAGATAGATAGATAGATAGATAGATAGATAGATAGATAGATAGATAGATAGATAGATAAAAAGAAAGAAAGAAAGAAAGAAAGAGAAAGAAAGAAAAAAAATAACTTTTGTCACTTTGAATGTACACTAATTGGCATTCATTAAAATGAAATTTTGTTGCATACAGCTCTCAAGGGGTCACCACCTCCAATATACACTACATAAACATGACAAAATAAATAAATACAAAATTATGCATATACCCACATATATTATGACATAGAGAAACAACACAGTCTAGTTTGGATGAGATACAATACATTAGATAATTATATTAATAATACAGTAGAAATAATACATTCTTCTATATATGTGCATAATAGCAGAACAGTAAGTACAGGTAGTCCTCAACTTACAACAGTTCATTTAGTGACCAAAGTTAAATGGTACTGAAAAAAAATGATTTATGACCATTTTTCATACTTCGACCATTGCAGCTTACTCACGGTTGCATGATCAAAATTTAGATGCTTGGCAAGTGGTTCATATTTATGACGATGGCAGTGTCCCGGGGTCATGTGATCACCTTTTGTGACCTTCTGACAAATAAAATCAATGGAGAAGCCAGATTCACTTAACAACTGTGTTACTAACTTAACACCTGTAGTGATCCACTTAACAACTATGGCAAGAAAAGTCATAAAATGGGGCAAAACCAGTGGTGAAACCCATTTTTTTTATTACTGGTTCTGTGGGCGTGGCTTGGTGGGTGTGGTGTGGCTTGGTGGGTGTGGCAGGGGAAGGATACTGCAAAATCCCCATTCCCTCTCCATTCCTGGGGGAAGGATATTGCAAAAACTCCATTCCCACCCCACTCTGGGGCCAGCCAGAGGTGGTATTTGCCGGTTCTCCGAATTACTCAAAATTTCTGCTACCGGTTCTCCAAAACCTGTCAGAACCTGCTGGATTTCACCCCTGGGCAAAACTCATTTAACAAATGTCTCACTTAGCAGCAGAAATTTGGGGCTCCATTGTGGTCATAAACCAAGGACTACCTGTATAGTAAAATCTAAAAATAAGAACAAAGATACTAAAATAAATCCACATAAAATACTATTATAACAAATTCCAAACTAATAATGGCAAAGCATATCATACAAACAGTAGCACAAATTGAGAGAAGTTGTGCAGTTATTTATTTTTGCGTCCTTGCCAAAATAAGTAATGCTATATAGAAATCGTTTTTTTTCCTCATGTTTTCCCAGTCTAAGCTGCTTTATTAAGTTGCCACACACTTCTCAAAAGCCATCTCTGTGCTTTTCTACAGTTTGTGATTGTACCCTTTTTGTGGTAGATGGGCTAATTGTAAAATATAAGAACAGCTAAGGGAAAGGAAAAAGGAATTCCTAAAATATATATATACATAATATATTTATTTATTTATTTATTTATTTATTTATTTTATTTATTTATTTATTTTATTTTATTTATTTATTTATTTATTTATTTATTTATTTATTATTTATTTATTTATTTATTTATTTTATTTATTTATTTATTTATTTTATTTATTTTATTTATTTATTTATTTATTTATTTATTTATTTATTTATTTATAAATTTGTATACTGCCCTTCTCCCTGAGGACTCAGGGCGGTGAACAGCCAAGTAAAAACATAAACTACAAACATTAAAATACAATTAAAAAGATATATATAAATTTGGCCCCATGATTAAAAACAATAACAGACAATTAAAAACATTTTAAAAAATGTTAGGCCAGCCCGGCTTGCTGGAAAAAGAAGGTTTTAAGGGCACGGCGGAAGGCACCGAGGTCTTGGATTCTCCTTATCTCTGGGGGCAGCTGATTCCAGAGGGTAGGTGTCCCCACAGAGAAGGCCCTCCCCCTGGGGGTCACCAGCCTACATTGTTTGGCTGATGGCACCCCGAGGAGGCCCTCTCTATGGGAGCGCACAGGTCGATGGGAGGCCGTCGGTAGCAGCAGGCGGTCTCGAAGATAACTAGGTCCTATGCCATGGAGCGCTTTAAAGGTGATAACCAACACCTTGAAGCGCACCCGGAAGACCACTAGGAACCAGTGCAGCTCACGCAGGAGAGGTGTTGTATGGGAGCGCCATGCGGCTCCCGTGACTACCCGCGCGGCTGCATTCTGGACCAGTTGGAGCCTCCGGGTGCTCTTCAAGGGGAGCCCCATGTAGAGAGCGTTGCAGTAGTCCAGGCGAGAGGTGACGAGGGCATGAGTGACTGTGCACAGGGAATCCCGATCAAGAAAGGGCCGCAACTGGCAATCAGGCGAACCTGACAGATATGACCGGGATTGGAGATAAAGCTAGGGGAAGCAGCTTTCGTGCATTTTTTTTCCCTTTCATAGTATGACATTTTCAGAATAGTAGAAACTGCTTCTATTCCAGCCCTGGTGAGAAAGCCCAGCCCAGAAGGTGAGAAAGAGATCCCATCATTTGCAGCTCAGCGGTCCTGCTTTACAAAGAGGGGCCGTTGTAAAGATGAGATGTACCATTTTGACTTATGAAGTGAACAGTCCATGTCTCTTTGGCAGGAAGTGAAGGACACAGTAGATGGGCAACGGATCCTGGAGAAGAAAGGGAGTGCAGCAGTAAGTTGGAGAGATTCTTCATGGAAATTGGGCGGGGATATAGGAATGTGCACATCATACTTGGTCTTACTGGTTGAGCTATTGTGACACTCAGCTTGCTTGTTCTTTGCCTCTTTCTATTAACCTCTGAGATTATTTTATCAGGACAGGACATTTTTCTTCCATCCCCTTTGTGAAACCTGAAGAAAATGTGAGGTTGAGAATTGCTGGCAGGCTTTAAGACAAGCTTGCTAAATTCCAGTCTACCACCACAGTTGAAAAAGAAAGTTGGAAACATCAAGCCCTGTGAACCCGGCAAACAAGAACTGTTTGGTTTTCTGGAGAGATTTCTATTGCTACTAGGGTAATAGAACAAACACCCAACTGATGAAATCCCTTCACCTTAAGCATGTTAAATTGCAATGGAGTCATTGTCCACTTCTCTTACTCCACTGAGCTATATTTCATACTGGTCTGGCTTCTCTTCACTGTTGCTGCTTTGTTCTGCCCCAGTTACGGACCCCAAAGAACGCAGCACACACAAAGCCTGTACAAAACTTAATTTACAAAAATAACTCAGTCTTTTTCAAACAAAGGCTGTTAATAAACTTTCTTAACAGCCTACAAGAAACCAAAGATAAAGTAATCACAATCTTCCAATGGTTGGCAGAAAGCCCAGAAGCAATTTGCAGAGAATCCAGATGAGAAGGAGAGTGAACTAAAGTTGTTCCCTACAAATTACTTCAGTCGGCGTTCCTCCTTAAATAGGTTAAGGGGGTGGCCAATTAGCCCCAAGCCTTACTCTCGAGGAGACCTCCTCCTGAGGAGCCACTCCTGCCTTTTGGCAGCTCTGCGCGCCTGTGCATCGAGAAGAGGCGGCTCCTCTTCGTCCTCTTCACTTAAAGGAGCTTCTGGAGGTTCTGAAGGCCCTGGCTGCATCCCTGCCTCTGGCACCACATCTTCTCCAGCCTCCTCATTGTCTGACTCGAGTGCCAGCTGCACAGGCTGCTGGCGCAGCACCACACCAGCCTCCTCATTGATAGAATCAGCTACAATCTGCACAGGCCACTGACGGGCCACAACATGGTTTAAGTAACCAGAAAGAATAATGTGAGTTGCCTGAATAAAGATTATTCCAGAAGCTGGAGATGCTTCACTTGATGGATGGTATCCTTATGGTCCTGACGCTACTGGAAAACCTCTTCCTTCCATCCTGTACATGTTACCAATTGCAGATTGCTAAATAATGCAGATGTCTAGCCAATGCCTAATTCCAAAGTCTTCAAAACTGCCTTTGTTGTATTTTCTGACCTTAATTGCAGTGTTGCGATTCCAAGATTTCTTCATGTCCGCCAATATGAATGTACTACCTACAGAAAGTAAAATGACACCTTCACAAGTCTTATCTTTTTGTGTAGAACAGGTGATTGTAGTCCAATACTAATGGAAGAGAAGTTTTTGTAGACCTTAGTGGCCACTCACTCGGTGGTTGTTCAGAGTTACAGTGGCACTGAATAAGGGGTCTTATGGCTGTTCCTCAAAGTTCTTGTACTGCCCCCCACAATCATGTGATCACAATTTGTGCACTTGGCAGCTGATGCACAATTATGACAGTTGTGGTGTCTTGCAGTCACATGATTGCTGTTTGTGATTTTCACTGCTGGCTTCCAACAAGAAAAATTCAGTGGAGAAACCGGCAGGAAGTCCCAAGCCAGTCATGTGATATTGCGCTTAATGCCCGTGCACAATTCACTTAATAACTGCAACCAGCACTGCCAGAACTACTATTGTAAGTTGGCATGGTCACATGATTTTATACTTTTTGACCGTGTCACTTAGCAAATGAGTTCCTGGCCCCAATTACGTTCGCTAACTGAGGACTTCCTATATTATGCATGTGCTGAATAGCAGGCTTCTTTGCTTAGCTTGTGCAAGAGGGCTAAATTGGGGACAGGACAGCCAGTGGTGGGACTAAGTATCAGTGAATCCAACCTTGATTTCCTACACATTTCTCTCTTCCCCACGAACAGTTGAAGGACCTCAAAAGACAGCTTCATCTAGAAAGGAAGCGAGCAGATAAACTTCAGGAGCGCCTGCAGGAAATCTTGACCAACAGCAAGAGTAGGACAGGTAAGAGGTGACCATCAGGGCTGCAGAGGGGAGAGGGGACAATGGCTTTGTGTATATAGGAGTATGGGTATTTTACCCTGTCCATTATATACACTGTTGGAATTCAGCCGGTGGCCCAGCCATGAAAGCCATTAACTCTCAAATGCAAAGCTGGCTTCTTATTCTGAATGTTGGTATTGGAAAGTATGTTTTGGTTTGAGTAACTGCAACCCCTTGTCTAGAATCCCTTTAGTTCTAGAATCCTTTTAGTACTGAACAGTTTTAGTGGGTTTACATTTTGCTCATTTCAGTAATATTCCTACTTTAAGTCATTTTGCCTTCAAAACAAAACTCAACGACCTTAAAAGCTTTCCTTTTGTTTCAACAGGATGACTAATTCAGCATGTTTTTTTTTTTTCAAATGTATTTTGGGAACTTTAGAAATTTGCTTTGAAAGACACTTTTACACGTAAACCTCTGTTGGAGCTCAGGCTTTTGTGGTAAAGGCGGCCAAGTGCCAGCTTTTCTCTACCTTTGCTCCCTGCGGAGAAAGAGCAGTCACAACGATCCATCTGCAGCTGCTATGAGTTACTTTTGCAATAGTTTGCCAATAAAATTGCTCATATATGCAAAAATCTGAGCTCTATGTGGGCAGAATAGAAAAGGTTGATTGGATAATATTCGGTAATGCTATCTGGGATTCATTCTGGCTTCTAGACTCTAAGGGAAGGATATAGAATGTGCTGAGGCATGAGATCCACCACTTGTGGGGCAAACTCCAGCTCTACTCGTTGAGTGCAGGAGATGGTCAGCATCTCACTAGGAGAAGGGTGCCTTATAGCCTTATAGCTGCAGTGTATTTCTTGTTAAAGAAGGCTTTTTTTGGATCCAAGCATTGGACAGCTTCCACTACCTCTCCAATCTTCCCTGTTGTAGGAAGGATGTAGAGGAGGCATCAGATGCAGAATTTAAGAGTAGATTATCTTGATTTATTTTTAGTCTGGATTCAGGCCTGGAAACAGAATGGAAAATGTAACAGGTTACTCTGATGAATGGCTTTCGATGGCTTTGTTAGGTAAGAAGAGTGCATTCCTCTTGGTTCCTTTAGCATGTAGTACCAGTGACCATGATATACTTCTGAATTATCTGCAAGGACCGGAGGAGGGAGGCACTGTATGGTGTCTCTGCTCTTTTCTAGGTGGGCGTTTCCAATTGGTAGAGAAAGAGAGGCTGGCCAGCTGGTTGCTTCCTTGTTGGGTGCTGCAACATTTGCTTTTCTTTCTCCTAATTTTGAAAATCTAACCGTTTCATGTAAATTTTAAAAAGCAGATGAGCAAGGGTTATCTTATTAATTTTGGGGTGATGTATTAATATGCTGCTGATACCTCCATTATATACATACAGTATATATCCACCTCAGGCCAGTGATGAAATGTAAAATTTGTTATTACAGGTTCTGTGGGCGTGGCTTGGTAGGAGGGGTAATATGACGGTGGCGTGGCCAACTTTTTTTTTTTTAACTTTTAAAAGCATTTTTTCTACAACCTTAAGAGGTTGCAGAAAAAAATGCTTTTAAAAGCCTCTGACGATCAGGCAACTCCGCTTGGATCATCAGAGGCTTTTAAAGGAATTTTTTTTCTACAACCTCTTCGGCCGAAGAGTTGTAGAAAAAATGCTTTTAAAAGTTTTTTAAAAAGCCTCTAATGATCGCATGGCTCAGCTGGGCATGGTGGGGGGGCAGGGATTTTTGCTATTGGTTCTCCGAACCACCTGCCGCCATCACTACCGAATCAGTCGTTCTGGTCCGAACTGGGAGCATTTCAACCCTGCCTCAGGCCAAGCAGGAAATATGGTGGAGTTCTTGATCCTGGTGCAGATCTGAATGGGATGAAACAAATAGAATTCTGGCACAATAGAAGGCTATTTTTTTTTAAAAAAATCTGACTTTTATTAGCTCCTATTATTATTCTGGGTTGTACTCACTTCGAAGAAGCAGGTTCATGGCTTGAGGGTTTTCCTGATTCTTAGCTACTGTTAGACTAGACCTGCAGTTAGAAGCTGCGATCAAAGGAACTTTTGCCCAGTTTCAGCTGGTGTGCAGATTGTGGCCCTAATTGGAGCGGGAGAGCTTGGTGAAGGTTACTCACACCCTCATCAACTAGAAATGAGACCACTGCAATGGTTTTTACCTAGGGCCACCTATGAAGACTAGCTGGGAAATGAAATTGGAGCAAAATGCAGCTGGCTGTTTATTAGTATGTGTAAGCCATCATATCCATGTGACAGTCTTCTTACAGGTCCTGCATTGGCTTCTAACATGTTATTGGGTGTAATTCAGAAGGGCTAATTGTAAGCTATAAAGCCCTATGTGGCTTGGCTATCTGATATCTCCAGGACTGCCTTGTATCTTCATTCTAAGAAAGGAAAGTCAGTTCCCCCACCCTCCTCTCCAGATCTCCTGCCTGAGATTGGTGAGCTAGGGACCTAGAGGCAGAGTTTCTCTGTGGTAACACTTTCACTGTAGAGTAGCTGTTGCCTAGAGATTTATTTGGTGCCTACCCTGATGTCCTTTAGGAAGGCAGTAAAAACACTGTTGCTTCATACAGGGCTCAGTTTGTAATTACTGTTAGAAGGCTAGACACACCGTTGAGTAGTATTCTCTGATCTGGTGTATTTTTTAATTCAGTATTGATTCTGTTTTGATTGTTCTGATTGCTCTTATGTAAGCCACTAGGAATTGTGTTGGGTTGTGGCAGTACAGAAACATCGCCAAAAAAAAAAAAAGTACACAAACACATGGGCTGACCTTCTCTGAGAGAAGAATGCTATGCTTCCTATCATATTGTAAACTTTTTTCGCCTTGGGTTCCTGGAGAAGCATAGTGCCTACATACAACCATGACATGTAATGTGGAGAGTAGGTACATATGTACCTTTCTTTTTGAATCTCATGAGCACTTTCAAAGTGTGCCATAAGTCCAGGAACCAAGGATTGGTAAAATTTTTGCAAGCTAATGTAAATGAAAAACTAGTTCATGTGGGCATTAAATTAACTGTTACAGCTCAATAGGTAAAGCATGTAGCTCTTCCACCTTGGTTTTTAGAGAACTCCTTTGACTTGAGTCTAGAAGTTGATTCAATCTGGGGTAAAATGGTATAGAAAAGGAGCAAGCAGATCTCAGGGTCACTGGGTCAAATTTCTCTTTCTCTTAGAACCCTGAGATTCATGGATCAAACGCTATCTATAAAATAATCTCATGGATACATCCTTACAGGTTGATTGTTTTTTTTTAAATTAGCCTAGGAATATGTGATCTATATCAGGAATCAGATTCATGAGTACTTTCGTGCAAAAATCCTCTTCTGATTTTTCCATAAGTGCTTTTTCCAACAACATTGAGAAGACAATTGTTTTGTTTGACAGGGAAAAGGCAAAAATCCTGACAGATCTCCTCAAAGCATTTAAAAGTCCACCAGATATTCTGATTTGTCCTTTGACCACCTGTAGCTTTGAGCCTCCCTGAAAGCATGTCCAAGTTTGTAGATTTCTATCAGCATATGTTATAACATCACTTTTAAGATGTGAATTCAATCCTGGGAACAAATGAAATATTTGAAGCAAAATACACATCTATTTCCAGAACTTGCACTGGCAGCAGTTTTGAGAACTCCTAGATCAGCATTGTCACGAACATAAGCTGTATTCCAGGAGGGAGAAATGATGCTGTCTCCAATTGCCAGACACCACAGGAATAGGAAGCCAGCTGTCCGGCTTGTATAGCGGTCAGTCAGACACCTGGCTGCCCCAGCTGTGTGCGATCTGGAGGGAGGGGAACCAGGCGAGTTGAAATTGCTCCCAGGGAAGTTAAGCATTAAAACATTAGATCAGCTCAGTGAGTCTTCTGGAAAGAGAGACAATGCTGGAAAGCGCAATTATTGTATCTGTCTGTGTTGCACTCTTTTGAATGGGGAAAGAGGACATGATGGGTTTGGATTGGAACAGAGCCGGGCTGCCTAGTCAGGATAGCAGATGAAGTAGAATGAACAAAGGTGGGGATGAGACTATTTCCTTAGGGTAGCCCTTTATTTGGGCTTCTCTGCCCACTGGTAATATATGAATGACATGGTTAGATTTCAAAACTAGGAAAATCAACCTCAGTATTGAGAACTTTGGAGAGAGTTCCACCAGATATGGCCCAGAAGTCATCTTTCTTGACTGCCTTTGCAAGTAGACAAAGTGTGGATTTTTAAATCACAACCTGCTAAACTGCTGTCTGGTACCCAGAGAGTCTAGTCATTCCCCCAAGGGTTCCTCTTGCCCAAACCTGTGTTTCCTGTACTTCATGTACAAGGCCCCAGCCCTGAACTGAGTCATTTTTGTGCACTACGGCCCTCTTGCTGTTGCTGAACTACACGTCCTTCGATCTTTGCTCTTTACCATGCTTATTGGTCCTGCTGCTTATACTTATGAAACAGCTGGGGGAACATTGGTGTTAATCTTGTCATTGGGTCTTCTCCTTAATCGCAACCATGCCTTGACTGGGTAAGATGGTAAAAATGTTTTCAGCATACATTGATCTTGGAACTGTGAAGTATGATTTTTATAATAGGCACACTCATTCCATTCTAAGCTGCTCTGCCCTCAGCTTTACAAAAAGGATTGCTAGTTGTATAAAACAGCCTGTATAATTCTCCCTCTTTAAAATAAGGCTGAAGCAAACAATTTTCCTGAACCCAGGCAACCTACAAACTAAATGTGTTTTTTTATCTTGCTGTTTTTCCTCTGGGGCTCCTAGTACAAGAAATATTTTCTTAATTTTCTGAGTTTCTTCTTTGCAGTTTTTTGTGTGGTGCGCCTGTGCAAAGCAGAAAATGTTTCTCCTCCTCAGCAGTCATAAAATTGCAGTCAAAAGTCATAAAATTGACTTTTTCTCTTCTTTCTTCCTTTGGCAAAAGAACAGTGACCCCCAGCTTAGCCTGTGGCTAAAAGAAAAAAATAGGCTGTGGAGAAAGACAGGCCTT